GGTGGGTGTTGTTGTTTTTTGTGGTTGTTGTTTTTTTTTTTTTTTTCCCCAAAGCCTAAGGAGAAACAATAATTTCCCGACAATTGCAATCTCTACCTGGCACAGTTATTTCTAGTGGAGGCATCAGCCATCCATGTACCATCAGCCTAGCCTGATCCTCATCTTGCCTCTCTTGGATCAAGCTGCAAAATGAGGCTTTGTCCCTCTTATTTTGTGTGCTATCAGAACAAGACTGACAAGACTGCCTTTCATGAATGAGCAGAGTGGAATTTAGGTACATCACACTCAAAATAGGGTGAGACCTGCAGGGCTTGTGGGGCCTTATCTCAAGAAGCCTGATGAAGATTTTCCATTGCTAGAAATACAGAGAAGGCAAGGGCAGGATTATCTGTAGTTTCCTTGAATGCTACTACTTCTTTTGAACTGTTCCTAAAGATTTCAGGGGAAAATCACCATTAAGCAGTATAAAAAAGGCAGTAAAACCTTCCATACAGGCATAAGGTATTGTGCCCAACTTTCACGGACTTTGTGAGCGACAGGGCAAATCAAAGCCTCCTCCTTCAGAGGAGATGCAAACCACAGTCCATGGCCAGTGGCAGTAATTGAAGCCCTATTTCCAAAAGAGTTGGCGAGCGATGAAACCCAGGGCGGATGGCTGTGTTCTGCCTCTTGAATCCCCTCCCACCGCCCTGCAATAGACTCGGTATTGCTGGGGGTGGGGGGTTTAACTTTACTGGCACAAGAGTTTCCTTTGTTGATGGGATCTGGGTCTCCTCTAGGGGACTGGGCTGATCCAGCTGTACTGGCAAAGCCTTTGTAATGTGGAGTAGCTCAAGTGCAGACCTGCAGTGGGTGCCTGCCTGAACCTTTGCTGGCACGTCGATAAGGCCAGTGCTGAGCAAAGTTAAACGACCCCGTGCTGGAGAAGTGCCACACGTAGGAGCCAGCAAGCATCTGTGTTACCGATCCAACGCGTCTCTCGAAATACATTTGGACTGTACTTCTTTTCAAGCAGGAACTGCTTTTTTTAGTAGTTGTGTGTGCTGGAAGAGCCACAGTCCCTGGCTGGGAGTGTCGGAGGGTACAGGCAGCACAGGGCAGAGGGACCTGGCAGTTGTGCTTGCCGTCATCAGCATGACCATGGTTTCACATTGAGTACCGCTGCGCTGCATCACTCTTGCCCAGTTGAGGTGGCATCTTTCTAGATGCCTCAAAAGAGCGGAGAAACCAAGCAAAGATAAGATTTCCTGAGGTGCTTAGTTTTAGTGTCCAGAAGCTGGGACCCTCCATGAGATCACTGCTCCATCAAAGCCCGAAGTTATTTCACAGGGTGATTCCTGCAGCTGCCAGAGCAGAAAGGATGGAGGCCTGAAGTTTGAGCCTCTCTCCAGAGAAGCGTATTTCTCTGCTGACTTCCCTGGGAGCCAGCTATGCCCTGGGTTGCTGGACTATCACCTGGCACAGGCTGGGAAGAGGCTCATTGTCATGGAGAACCGCCCATCCCAGGCATGGCCTTGGCATTTAAAGGAGAGTGGGGACTCTCAGGGTGGGACCAGCAGGCTAATTGCCTTTGTCTTCCCCCTCCTTCAATGGGGGAATCCCAGTAAATCCCCCAAACCCATGACAATAGCCCTGCTGCCTTTAAGTGCCTTCCATTAAACTCAATCCTCTTGCCCTCCCTCTCCCAAGATCTGCTAAAAGAAGTCTCTTTTAATGACAAAAGGAAACCTAAAAGGCTGCCATAAGGTCATTTACTTGGCTCCTCTCTGCAGACTAGGTGTCTATTTGCTGAAATCTACTCTCAAGTGTCCCTTGGGCAGGTTGCTTTATCAAGAGCCCGCCAGCCTTCGGGGTGGTGTGTCCACAGGAGGGGCCGCAGCCCCTGGCTCCAGCTAAGGGCTCACTTTCCCTGGAGGGAGCAGGATTTGGTGCTAACGGCAGGAAAGGTGCACTGGGGACAGTCAGACCTTCCTAGAGCCCACCCTCCCCCTCAGGAGCAGGGCTGGAGCACTGCCGTGGGACAGTCCTTCCCTGGCTCTGCTCTGGCAGGTTCTGGCTATGCCACCACCCAACCGATGTGGCACGAAGGTCTGTTGAGCCATGGGGTATTTGCTGAGGACATACTGCCAGAGGCAGACTGCACAGCAACACAACCCTGCCACTGATTCGGAATCCTCAGGAGCAAACTTTTATGGGTACGGTCTGCAGAAGCATGCAGCTGATGGAAGTGGCAGAGAGTAAATCCTGAAACACATCTGGGTGGAAGAACATGAGCGTGTGTCACACATGGGCTTGCTAAAGTCTGACAACAGGCTGGTGGAGCAGGGAAAGGGTGCAACGGTCACTTAGATATGGGAGTAAGCAGCTCCTGGTTTAAATAAGGACCTGCTCTAAATCTTTTGAAGGTGTTGGGAATCCCTCCACCGCTTCTAGATCAAACTCAGCAGTCCAAAATCCAGATAAAGCTATTCCTCATCTGGTGCGATTCAACTGGAACAGGACAAGACTGACCACCTCGTCTTTTTGCTAGTGGCAGTCTGCCCTTTCCCTCCCATTATCACTACCACTGCATCACCCGAGACAAAATTAAAAATCAAGACATGGAGGAATTACCCCTAAAGCCAGGAAGATGGTATCTGTGCTGGGAAGGGGTGAGCGAGAGGGGGATAAGGCAGGAGTTGCCACCCGCCCACTGGTCTCAGCTATTGCACAAATGGCGGTTGGCTGGTGCTGGGGCAAGTACTTGGTCCCGATCCCAAGCACATGGAAGTCATCTGACGTTTCGTCATGGCTTCATTATATTTTGGATCAGGCCAGTGGTTTGTCTTGCATCACCACCCTGTATGTTACGCAGGTAGGCTTCGTGCCACTGCCAACAATTTTGTTTTCCGAATAGCCTGCAGGGATGGCCTTACATCACGCCAGATGCATATATGTTAACTAGCAGCAATTTCATGCTTAACTTCATTACTGATGCTACATTCCTCATCAGGACATTTATATTCACGCTCTACCCGCACACAGTGCACACAGCGCCCAACACAAACAGCTTATGCCAACGGCAAGAATTGGGAGTTGATCGTTTTGCATGACGGCTGCTCTAGGATGCATTCAGGTCCCACTTCTCAGCTAGCCTGCCATGTTAAGCAGGTGCAATCCTACTCGAAAAACTGATTTGCAAAACGGATGGAGCCAACAGATGAGCTCAGACTTTGTACCTCCTGCTAGCTAGCATCATGCTGGAACCAGCCCCGCTTCTTTTACTTTTGCAAGCTTTTATTTTTTTTACTAAACCAGGCTGAAAAAAGAAGTTGTAATTCAGACCGCTGACAAAACCAAACAAACAAAGAAGCCCAGCGTGCCCGCTCTGCACAGTGAGACTATGAGGCTGAGCAACTCAGCTCAGATGCGTCTAAGGGCCCAGAGAAGTTTTCTTCTGTCTTACTATGCAGATGAAATTGTTTATAAACCTTTGCACCTTTTATCCCAAACCACGTGAAAGCAAAACCTGTCTCCCACAGAGTTTTAAAATACCTCAAACATACTGAGGAACAACCAGGCAAAAATCTAACAATTGTTAGCATTTTATTCCCAACAGCTGTTCAGCCTGAAAAGTTTCATTAATACACTAATGAACAAAAACAAAACCAACCAAAAATTCAAAACAAAAAAAAACCCCAAAACAACAAAAAGAAGGGGAAACGAAGTAAAATAAACTTTAACAAAGTTTAAAACACATTATAAATAAGTACAGCTCCAGAGCATAATTTACAAATATAAAACCACATAGAAACATATGTACAGAAGAGTTACATTACGTACAAATATGTATAAAAATACCCCAGTGTTTATTCTCGTGCTAAAGCTGCATGGCTAGAGTTATCTTTGGTACTAAGCTCAGGGAAAAAGATTGTTTTACAAGACACGGCCCTGGCTGTACAATATGCCAAACACAGGAAGACCAGATGAACCTCTGTGGGTTTTGAGGAGGTTCTGGGTGGGTGTTTACCCCGAGTATCCCCCCCGTGCATTGCATATTGCAGGATCAGGGCAGAAAGAAGGTGGATTACAGAGGCAATTGCTGGCAGAAGAGTATTTTTTTAATACATTGTACAAGGCACTTCATAAGAAATCTCTTCATTTATTTTTCCTGTTCTCTTCTAAGACTCACTGGATGTCTACACTTGGCTCCTGCTGATACCGCTTTATGGTTATAGTTTTTAAACTCCTTATTCTACATTCAGGATTAGAAACCTCTGAAAATATTAATTGAGTTTGCTTTCGCCTGCAGAATTTATATGGCAAGCCATCTAAACCACCTAACATTTTCCAGGATGAGGAAAAGACTTTGCATCTGCCTTCTGCTGGTGTGTTCTTATTTTGAAAGGTGAGAAGATCTGTCTTCCTGGAAGAACTCCTGGGAAGTGTCCACATTGAAATGCTGTTTGCAAAAGCATATGGTCCTCCGTACTGCCAGATACACCTGCAACTCCCATTCCCTTTGCAGCGCTCGCCGGCTGACTACCCCAGCATCCTACACCTCCGTTCCATCCCGGGTGTAGATGAGGCTGTTAACCGTGAAGTTGTAGTAGTGGTTGTACTGGGCTCCCTGGCTGCTGCTGCTGGGATGGAAGGAGCTGTAGTAGGCGGGGGAAGGTCCCGCAACCCGCTGCAGCTGGTCTGGCGAAGGCACCTCCTGAGAATTGCTGCTGGAAGAGGTGAAAGTGCCACTGCTCAGCTGTCCAGCAGAGAAGTTCCTGTGATGCAGGTCACTGCCGAGACCCCCCGTCAGCCGGCTGCCTCCGCTGCTCAGGGAGCTCATGCCGCTGAAGAAGGTGCTGAGGCAGCTAGGTGTGGATGAAATGATACCGGAGGGAGAGGAGCTTTTTGGATGGTCCCTGGCAGAAGGCGAGGGGTCTAGCTCTGGGGGTGGGCTGTTTCCACAGGGTTTGCCTGCGGCTGGGATGGGTCGCTCTTCCTCAGCCTTCAGGCCCCCTAGAGAGGAGGCCGCAGAGGCGGTCGCAGGGGCGTTGGGCTCAGAGCGCCGCTTGCGTTTGCGACGGAAGTTCCCGTTGTCAAACATCTTCTCACAGTTGGGATCCAAGGTCCAGTAGTTTCCCTTCCCTGGTGGAAAACAGGAGAAACAAGAGAGAAAGTCAACTTCTGAGGCAGTGAGCCCCACCGTGGGCAGATAAGCAATATCCGCGTCCCGTCCGAGTGGCGCAGAACCCACATCTCTCCTAAACTTGTTCCTCCTCTGCTGTCCAGTACAAGGATCCAAAACCCAGCTCCAGGACACCATCACCACCGCCCCTCTGATGCCCAAGTGAGGCTTAGTGCCGCAGGGGGGAGGAGAACCTCCCCGCCACAGAGCGTAAACCTCCCTGGAGGCTCCGCACCTCCACCTCAGACCTGGCCCAAGGGGATGCGACGCGGGGCTCCCCCTGCTCCGCCTGCGGCCACCTCGGCACCGGCTTCTCAGAAAAGCTGGTGGGCAGGCGGGCTGGCGCCCCGCGGACACCGAGGGGACGAGGGGGTGGCGGTGGCACCAGCTGTCCCCACACGCCTCCTGCCCGTGCCCGGGCCTGGCGGGAGCGGTGACCCCACACCGCGCCCCCCGAGGCTCCACACCGGCACGTCCCCTCCCCTCCGCCGGGCACCGGCCGTGCGCCCCGGGGCAGGCCCGGCGAGCGGCGGGC